AAATATGTATACTTGTATGTTCATAACTATGCACACAGATGCATAGAAGACCAATTTTAGTAATTCATCCACTATGGAAATAGATTAAATTTTGTTAACTGATTATTCAAATATACTGCAAATTAATAAGTTTGACTAAAAAACTTTCTTAGATTTATGTGACGCTATGGATTTACTATGGACGTCAATACTGATAGGTTAGTTGGATTTGATATTTCAAGGGCATCAGTTCTGATACTTTTCGAATTTATGTGATTAATATCAAAATATTTTACAATTTTTCTGAATTAAATTATTCTATTATTAATGATTTTGAAGCCCAATATTATTCATCTAAAGGTTTAAAAAAATGAGAAATATGATGATTAAAATTTTTTTAACTCACGAACCCCAAGGAAAACATAATTAAGGTTACATGTATCTTGAAGGCTGTAAGGCCAAAAATTGATGCAGCTTTCGAGAGCATGAAGATGGTGATGCATAGTATCTCTCCACTATTCAAAATCATTTCCAGTTAGAGAAGGAGAACTTGTGTACATTCTATACCCCTCTTTTCCAGTTTTAGCAGAATTCTTGCAGAAGATAGCTTTTTCGTCAATGGACATACCAAAGAACTCTTTGCCCATATTTATAGCTTCAATCATTAATTCCCTTGGTACTCCATGGTTGATCACCTATTTCACAGATGCCATACAACCCAATTCATACTTATAATTCCTAATTTTTTCAAAATAGTATACTACATACTACCAAAAAATTAAAAATTTTTTTTGTTGATAAAAAAACCCGCAGCCGCTATCCAAGAGTGTGCACTGGGTAAACCCCCGCCAATTATACGGAGAGGTAAGATGCATTACGCAAGCCTATGCAATAGACAGATGTTCCAGGAGAGATTCAAACTCGAGTTGGTAAGAAGACATGACTGAAATAGCCCAAATTCTTGACTTGCTTTGCTTTCATAATTTGTTGTAATAAATCAGTACGCTCATTTGCATTCCAAGATCAATTACTGGTATTTCATTGCTTATTGGAATAGGAAAAGCCCTGGCCTTTCTTCTGCAGGGGCAACATATTTAGCAGGCAAGGATCCCCGCGGTGGAAGACCAACTTGAGGCAGGTGATGCCATAATTTTTGTGGTTCACCGTCCAGAAACACAGAGTACAAATGTAGCTTGTGCATGTAGGTAAGGACTATACCTGGCAATTGGGCGTGTTGGGCGGGTTAATATTAGGTTTTTATTTAAATGGGTTATACCCAATCCGTTCAACTTTAGATTGGATTGATTTTGGATTGGGTCATATTGGGTTGTCTCAAACCCATGACCCAAATATGACCCAACATATTAATTAATACATTTTAATACATAAACTTTTTCACATACATTTTAACACACAAAAAAAAAATTTCACACATATAAACACATTTTCACATACATAAATGTATTTTCATGCACACAAACACACACTCACTTCTTATACTAAAAAAATTTAAAAAATCAGGAATCTTGTGATTACTTAAGATTATAACACTTGATCGAGAAAAGTAATACTACTACTATATCTGTTTGTAGCATATAATAAAAGTAAAAATTAATCTTTCCTACACTGATAGTGTATGCACTATCAACGTTGGATGAATGACAACTGTGTAAAATTTGAATTTGAAATTCCAGATTGTTTTGAGTCTAGCAAATAATTGACAACCAATTAATTAAGGTGCACTTTGCAACTAGCAGAAGCAGAAGCTGGCTTTCCTTAATTCATTGGACTCTAATGATTATAAGTATAATAACATTATTAGCATCAACAATTAGAGTACTCTTGAAACGAAAATTTCGGCTTGCAAAGTTTGTGCATTAGATATCAAGACCAAAAATTCTGTATCAGTCAGAATAGCTAGATTCGAAGAAAATGCTTTTGGACTACGTATGTGAAACGGTGTTCTAGTATTAGTATTAGGTATTCTCTTTATTTGAGCCCTGTTCAACATATAGAGTCCATGTGCCTTGTAATAAGTAAATGCTCGTGTTCTAGAATGATTGTATTAATCACGACTTATAAATCAGTTTTAAGAGTTAAATGCCTTTTAACAAATTGTCAATTTAGTACTTAAAATTTATGTTAGAATTTGTTTCACTATCTGCGGATCAATTGTAATTTTTTGTTAAACAGCAATCAAAAAGTATTGTGGATTTTTTTTTAAAAAAAATTATCAGGGGAGAAAAAGAAGAGAGGGAAAGAACTGAATAATTATCTTCAGACCAATAAATCGGGTGGAGACATGATTTAAAAGAAAATAAAGATGGTGGCTGTCAATTGTCATCCTGGTCATCTTGGGCACTTTTTCTTTTAAATAAAAGTTAAAAAAATTGATTGAAAATATATATATATTATAAGAATTTTGAATACAAATTAATCAATGCATTATTAATACATGTCCAAATACAAATAGTTGAGGATATGCGTATTGAATATTGAATATGTATTTTTTTTGAATTACTTTTAAACAAGTTGGGTATTGGATATCCAAATAAAAAATTCAACCCGTCCGATGAATAAGTTGGATTGTTCTTACTCATCCAACAAAACTCATAACCCAATTGACCCAATCCATCCTTTAAAATTAATGGACGGATCGTTGGGTGTTGGGCTTTTTCGCCGACTCTAGTAAGGACCCTTAATATAGCAGTCAGTGGTGAGGCAAATTCTAGCGCGGACCATGCTTTACGCGGCATCATTTGTCACTTATTAAGATGTGATGTGGTGTGAACTCATGGATTATTTGAGTCATAATTGAAGTCACGTCAATTTTTTTTAGTGTACTTGTTGGCATTACCTGATGTCATATTTTACAGTGTACAATGGTGTGAACTCATAGATAATACGAGTTATTAATGAAACCATGTCATTTTTTCTGAAGTGGCGTGAACTCATAAATTGTGTCAGTTATAAATAAAGTCATGTCATTTTTTCTGAAATGGTGTGAACTCGTGAATCATGCAAGTCATAAATAAATAAACCATCGAGCTTGGCCACCACCTCTCCTGGTGAGGTGGGAGGTCAGGGGTTAAACCCTTGCCTTCCACCAAATTGTCTGCTCTTCATGGACAATTCGGTTGGTTTCAGCAAGTCTCCTTAAAAGTTGATGTCCAGTATCGGTAAGGGTTCGAGTCCTGTGGTTATCGTGTTCGGGGATAGGGCCTCTCCTTCCAGGCCGGAGTGGGATTAGTCGGATCTCGTAAGAATTAACCCGGACACCCACTCCGTCAGAAAAAAAAAAAAAAATGTAAGTCATAAATAAAACCATTCTGCTTATTGACAATATTTGACATCTGATATCACTTTTCACAGTGTAAACTGGTGCGAACTCATAGATAAAGTGAGACATAGATGAAGCTATGTGAGTCAAATTATTTTTCCTTTTTTTTTCCCTCTCTTTTTGTCTTGTACTCTCTCTCTCTCTCTCTCTCTCTCATTTTTTTTCTTTTTATTTTTCCGCGGTTCTTCTTTATCATTTATTAGTCACTATATCGCTATTATCAACTGATCACAAACAAGCTCTTAAGTTCGATATTCATAGCTAAGTATTTTTAATTTCTAGGTTATACATGTTTTGTAATACAAGAAACTAACTATAACCAACTAGGGGTGGGCAAAAAACCCGTCATATCCGATCCGATCCGATCCGAAAATTAGGATATCCGATTTTTATTATTTGATCGGGTCAAAAAAGGGTCGGGTATCCGCTAAGATGCGGTGCGGGTTAGGGTCACATAATTAAAAACCCGCGGGTACCTGATCCGCCCAGCATATATATATTTTTTTATTTTTATTTTTATTTTTATACACACACTATAAAATAATAAGTTAGAACTAAATAAGTAATTTTATTGAACAAATAGCATTACAAATATGAGAAACTATAGTTTATTTACAAGATTCATTTGTAAAGGTTATGATCTTATATTTTATAGAAAAAAGTTTAATTAATGTGGAACATATATATTAAAAATTGTGCTACTTATTTCAAACTTTTATTGATTTTGAATTTTTTAATTTTTTCCCTTTATCTTATATTCTCTTCATATGTTTGTTTCTTGGTGGGAAACCTTTTTTTAGAAAAAAAAATTATTAAATTTAGATGAATGTGTAAAATATAAAATTAAATTGGTATAAATCATTTTTTAAAAAAATTAAATGATAAACGGGGCGGGACGGGTACCGCTGATCCGATCCTATCTCAACGGGTACCTTATAACGGGTACCCGCTGATATTCAGGGCGGGTAAGGGTCAGAAAATGGCTGACCCGCAAGGTGCGGTCGGGTCAGCCAAATGGTGGCGGGTACCCACCCCTATAACCAACAACTAAATTACCACCGGAGTTTGTAGTTGACATTAACAATTAAAATAATTAACAAAAGCAAAAAACTTACAGCACAATAAATAATGACCAGAGAAAATTAAGAAAACCAAACTTTTAGTGCTACAATATGAAATCACTTTTTTGATATGAAATTAGTTGGTAGAATATCAATTCTTATGAATTTTGGTATTTTATCTTCCTTTTTTTTTTTTTGCCTGCATAAATTTTAGAATAGTACGAATTATTTAATATGAAGTTGGCACTGGAGGAGAAAGAAATCCGGAGGGAGGAAGCTAAGTGCAACTAACTGTTAGAACAACCATTGTTTTTATCAGATTTTTTTCTTCTAGATTTTCTTTGCCTAAACAATTATTAGAATAGCAAGGATAATTTGATATATTGTTGCCATAAAAAGACTAAATAAGCAGATGGTCTAAGTGCAAAAAAATTTGCTAAAATAGCCATTCTATTGCAGCGATTTTGGTTTTTCTCTTCCGTATGCTTTTGCCTAAATAATTGTTAAACTAAAAAGGTGGTTTGTCAATCCAAACATTTTTAGGTGATTACGGATCCCATCTCACTGATAAAGAAGGTATGTGACATTTCTGAAAGTTGAAGGTTTTTAAATAGTTATAGCCCAAACCTCAGGGGAGGTTTTCAAAATTATCCCTATCCATAAATATATTGATTAATTGAATTCATGCCTGAAGTTCAGTTGATATGAAATCAGATACATAAAGACTGCACAGATAATGTTTTTTAAGTACAACAAAGTAAGATAGTTTTTCTATTCCAAGAAGCAGAAAGCTATATAGATTAAAACTCACAAGGCAACAGTAGTATCATTTGCTGGCTTGGCTTTTGATTTTGAAGTATTCAGCTGTCACTTCGCTGTCTGAGTTGTTGCCGAAAAGGACCTCAAGATTAGATACTCCTTCATATGGAATGCTCTGAATGCTGGGGGATCGCTTGGACTAACAAGTGACTTTACAGGTTCAATCAACCTATCAGAAGGACAATTGAAAAAGTTTACAAGTGATGTCCTAGAACAAGCTGAATTTGTAACCACTCGATGCACTGCGCTTCTTAGCTTTCCATTTGCTAATTACCTACAAAAGACTCATGATTCATATATAGTCTTATTTCGCAGATATTAGTAATGTAATTTGTATCATCATAAAAGTGTAGTTTTAAGTTAATTCTATGTCTTTACAGCTCCAATCATTTGTACATTTTTCCTTTAGTCTTTTCTCCTTTCATTTCTTACAGATGAATCAAGAAAATTGTCATCCGAGCTTTCCACCAGCTAGGAATAAAAGAGATTACTTGGATACAGATATAGGTCAGGAAACTTGTATATATACCTCCATTGAAAAACTTATAGGGATGCAAAAGCATTTGGAAGAGGTTCCACACCAATCCATTGGCCATCCTTAAATAGTTGCAGACCATAAATATCCTGCTGAATTATGGTTATGAGGTTAGCATCACGGTGTCCAGAAACTCCCAAGGCTGAGCTAGGATCTGGACATGCCGGGTAGTTGTGAATCATCAGGAGCAAATCATGGTAGTCATAATTTTCCTCGGTCAATCCTAGTCCTTCACAGATCATGTCCAGAATTCTGATACCCAGCTTTCTCACCTCAACTGTATATGGACCTATGGTCCCCCTGCAAAATTGAAAACTTAATCCATTTTGTCCAGAAAAATAAAGTAAAACCAGTTAAAATTGTCTGTAAATGAAAGGAGATAAAAGAAGCCAGGAAATGGCCTTCTTGATCAATATAACACATACATTTTCCTCATCTATAGAAGATAATGACTTACAAAACTGTATTTTTTAATATTAACAAAAATAGGATTTCTTGTCATGAAATATCTTATCTGGGCGAATATTCAACAGAAGAAAAGGATATCATGATTAATTGTGTACCGGTATCCTGCTGGCTTATCAGGAAAAATATTAGTCCATTTCTCAAGTGGATGGCAAGGGTGTTGCAGAGTATCCCTCCACAATCCGAAATCATGAGATCCATAATTTCCAGAACCTGTGTAAACTTTGCATCCCTTTCGCGAATCCTTAGCAGCAAAATTCTCCATTTCCTCAGCAGGCATGGAAAAGAATTCTTTTCCCACATTCACAGCATCAATCATCAACTTTTCCGACACTCCATGGTTGATCACCTGTTTCATAATCATACATCATACCAGTTAGGAAGGTTTCAAGTACAATCACAAGTTCACGTTTCGAAAATGTTAATGTCGGATAGAAACCTGAAAAAAGCCAAACTCTTGACTAGCTTTCATTATTTTCTGAATTATACTGGCTCGATCTCCCTCACTGAGATCAATCGCTGGTATGTCCTTGCTTACTGGAGCAAGCAATGCTCCTGGCCTTTTCTCTTCAGGTACAATGTATTTTTCCGGCAAGGAATCCGGGTCGGAAGACCAACTAGAAAGAAGGTTTGCCATGTTTTCTCTCAGAGAACAGTTACACACTTGCACTGATAAAGTTTGGTGGATCAGCAGGTCTTAAATAGCCAAAAATGCTTGTGCTTATCCAGCACCAGCCAAAAGAAAGTTCAACAATAGTCTTACCTACATGAACAACAAGGACCAAAAAACATTCATTACTTTCCTTGTAATCAATTAGAATAAGTCATCAAATTAATTGGTTTAGATTTAGATTACAAATTAACCACTTTGCATCTTTGCATAAATTTATGAGTCTTGCCAAAGGAAATCAGTTTGTGTATATTTAACAAACAAACATGATACACATCCTTGAAATTGGTCTCATTTTAAGTATTTTGCAGCAATCCCTATAAGTTTTCTCCAGTTGTATAGTTAAACTTGACATAGAGTACACTTGCTTTGAACATAGCTTCACTTACCGACTCCCCAAAAATAAAAAATAAAAAACAAAAAAAGACATTAGTACAAGAGATGACAACATTACCTTACTCCAATTATATTATAAATTTCATGTTATCCTTAAAAATTTTATTATGAAGCTCAGTTTGACTTTCACCGATTCCTGCCTCGGTCTTAATTTGGAGTATACCTAAATTTTTAAAAAAAAAAAATCCTCTTTTCCTTTTGTCTTATCTTTGTGAGAAGATCAATTGTTTGTACACATATATGATTGCTATTCTTGACCATCTTGTGTCCTGTTATGAAGGACAACGTTATAATATATGGCTTTAGAAGAATTTTAACTTCTTTGATGTTGGCTGCTGGCCAATAGCCAACTTATACCTTTTTTTCGATTTATCATCATAACGTCTAGTCAACAATGATGTCAATGTTATACTATACAATTTTTTTGAACCCAATATTGTTTAAAATCTCTACTTTGTAGGGTACGTTTTGAACAAGAATTTCAAAGTATAAATGACTGTTTTGCAATTTAATGGCTGCAAGCTTCATCTGTTCGCAATACACTATATTTTTAAATTGATCAGAACTCTCTCTGTTGTATTTGAGCCAATCAGGAAATTCATATGTTTCGTGCCTCGCATTGAGTTTTAGGAAATCTACTTTGCCTTCGTAATCTTGATAACTTCTTTAAGCTGAAGACTAGTATTGATTCAGCACTAGGTAATATGAGGTGGTGTAGATCAAAAGGTTAGAATTCTAAGCTCAGGGACTGATTTGTGTTCAAGGGAAAGATGCAGTTACTGCTAAAAACACATTCAAATATCAATTGAGTAACTCGAACTTATTTTCCACCAATTATATAGTTTTATACTGCACATTATACAATGCCAACGAGATCCAGCATTCTTTATAAATACAGTAGAGAATTTGTTTTAGTTGACAAGTTCTGCCGAAACTATAGCTTTAGGTAAATCATCAATATTCCAATAGGTTGGGGGGGGGGGCATATAATCCAAGACAACATTATTTGTTGGTTTAGTTCTTGATTTTGAAATAGTCAACTGTTGGATTGGTGTCAGAATTCTTGCTCATTAGAACTTCCATATACTCTTTGAATAAGAACCTTCTGTATACCGGCGGATTGCTTGGACTGACAACTGATTTTGCAGGTTCAATAATCCTCTCAAACGGAAGATTAAAAAAGTTGGCAAATGATGTCCTAAAACGATCTGAATTTGTAACTACTCGATGAAAGGCGCTTTTTAGCTTTCCATTGCTGATTACCTGCGACAAAACATGAGGAAGACAGAGTCAAATTAATGTTCATATATAGCTTCTATTCGTCCAATTCTGTCCGATGAAAACCGTAGCTTCAGATTTCCATTTGCTAGTGTTTTTTCAAATCCAGTCATTCTTCTCAGGATAAGGATATGTAGGACTAAATCAATTCATCAGTTGGACAAACTTGGAGAATCATACTTTCATGAAATTTTACAGGATAATTTCCAACAGGCATCTCTTGAATATTATTATTGTTTAATTGTCCCCTTTAACTTTTACTTGCTCAAGTATCAAGAACAATAACTCTCAAAGTGAATAATACCTTGGGCTAGCATTTTTAGATGCTGAAGACAAACAATCAAACAGTTCTAATAAAGGTCCTCAATTAGTTGGGAAAATGGGCAAGAAATCCATATATGCGTATTCTTTTGCAATAAAGATGGAGGTATACCTCAAGGGCGAAACCTATATTTATCACGAATGCATTTGGAAGAGGCTCAGCCCCAAGCACTCGCCATCCTTGAATAGTTGTAGCCCATAAACATCTTGCTGAAGGAAAGTTATTAGGTTCCCATCATAGTGTCCAGCTGCTCCAAAGCTGAACTGGGATCTGGGCATTCTGGATAATTGTGGATCATCAAGAATAAGTCATAATTATCAAAGTTATCCTCAGTAAATCCTAATCCTTCGTAGATCAGTTCCAGAACTCTCTTGCCCAATTCTCTCACTTCAACTATATATGGTACCATAACCTCTCTGCAGAATAAAACTTTCTTATTCAGCCAAAGAAATTTAGAAATTACATATTAGTGTTTTTACAGAGACAAAGAAGTTAGATGGAATAAAATGACCTTCTACAAAAAAATTAAGAAACAACTCTGATTTAGTTTTTAAAAAAAAAAAAAGCGAGGGCATATAACTGTAACAAAGATTCTATAATAATTTTTGCAAAAACTCGAGAATCAGATGAACTACAGGAAACAAGGATTGTACATATATACCGGTATCTTGCTGGCTTATCAGGCCAAGATTTGATGCAACTCTCAAGAGGATGACACGGATGTAGCAAAGAGTCTTTCCAGTAGTCGAAATCTTGGGTGCTATATTTTCCAGCACCTGTATAAAGCTCCCATCCATTTTGTGTATCACCAGCGCTAGCAGTCAGCTTCATTTTCTCCTCAACAGCTATGGAAAGAATTCTTTCCCCACGTCCATAGCATCAATCATCAACTTCTCTGTTACTCCATGGTTGATCACCTGTTTCATTATATTCATAATACGTAAATTCAATTAAGTTCAACTTCTGAAAACATCATTTTGCAAATACGTATATACAATACATACACACATAGACACACACACACACACATGTCGAATGTGACCGTGTACTGGAATAATCCGAATTCTTGACTAGCTTTTATGATTTTCTGAACTACAGCAGCTCGATCTGCTTCACCTAGATCAATTACTGGTATATCCCTGCTTATTGGAGCAAGCTTTCCTGGCCTTTTGTCCTCTGGCACAGCATAACTTTCAGGCAAGGATTTAAGATTGGAAGACCAACTTGAAAGTAGGGATGCCATGTTTTTCCTCTCAACGAAACTTAATTTGGCAAACTACGTTTTGGTGATGCATGTCATGGATTAAGACTGTCTTATGTAGCCAAAAAACAACTTGACTGTTTCCCAGTTATTTGTCAGCAAGGAAAAAAATTATCAGTCAACAGACCAATGAGCTTGATATATATGACTAAAGATAATGATGAATTAATCACCAATGGCGGATAAATCCAGTTAATAAGTTACTTATCTACATGTTAAACATTCTCATATTCTTCACATATTAATAGGATATTAATTTGTATTCACATTTATCTAGAACTAAAATTAAAAAAATGGGGACTTGGATTGGCAATACTATCATTTCATTCCATATTATTGGATTGTTCCCATTAATGAATTTTCTAGTAATATTTTCTTGCAGTTCCCTTTATTGTTATCTTTTGGAAGAAATTATGTTCATCAGTTAAACATCCTAGACTCCCAAACATTGAGTACAAGGGAGACAGTGAATTAACTTTTATCAACAATGCTACTACTATGAAATTAAAATTCTGGCCCAAAAAAAAAATTAATATTGCTTTTGCTAATTAATTTCTCTCATATCATTTTATGTTATTTAGCGATTGCCTTCAGTCAACTTACATGTATTTTTTTTTTTATAAATTGTGTTTTCTCCAAATATTATACTCCCCAAGTAGCCGTTTTGTTTGACACGTATAAATTATATCTAGTCGCTATTAATTTAAGTACTATAATGCATATATAATGCAATGACACTGGTTTCTTCCACAGCATTGCCAAAATTTTCATTTATTCCATTCTTAATTTTATTTTTTTTCGGACAACGATAACATTTATATAATCTAATCTATCATCTTCTACCGGGAGAGAGAACCATCTGACTAGACCCAAAGGATGTTCTAACATATCCTTTGAATTTTTTTCATTGTAAGCAGAGTTCGAATCCCAACCTACTTTTTGGTAGCTACTGAGCTAAAACTCAGCGGTTTAATTCTATTTCTTAATTAATAAGGCTGGTGTCACATACATTTTTTCCTCATAAAACCCGCCAGTATACTCGCCGGGTTGACCCCAAAGGCCGAATTCTACGGTAGAGAATGCTGCAATAATAATTGGGACGTGAAAAACATTTTAGAGTAGCGGAAAAGAAAAGGCTTGCGGATTGAGCTGGGCATGGCTAGACCTTGAATTCTTATATTCTTTTCTCTAATATTTGCCCTGCATGCCAGGGAAGACCGAAGGCTGCCAGGTAACAACTGAAAATACACTCATATTTTTATATATGTGATAAAGAAAATATAGTATTCCTAAGATGGGGAGCCAAAAAAAAAAAAAAATTGGGCAACTATTGTTTGACATAACAATCTACTCATACTAATAGTACAGTCATTTGTACTAATACAACATGTACACCTGTTATATTGGTAATGTATAATTATAATACTTGAGTATAAAGGGTTTCATGTTTATATTACCTCAATTCGTATTTTTCAGTTCACTGGCCCAGAATCCAGGATTTTATAACAGTTGTCTTGGTTCTTAATCCAGCATACTACTACTAGATCAGGTCTAGGCAAAAGTGGAATTGCCAAAGTTGCTGCTTTTTTCGGTGGAAAGTTTCAGGATCCTAGCTTTAACGATGGTCAGTTTTGCTTCTAGGTATCTTCAAACTTTTCGTGAAGCAAATCATCAGCTTTGCAACTCTTCATCTCAGAGAATCCCTCAAACATGGTGGCATCCTCCACCTAATTGCTATAAGTTAATTTTGATGGCTTCATCTTGCACACACGAGCGAGCTTTTGGGGTAGGAGTGGTGATTCGTAATCATGAGTGGCATTTTGTAGCAGGAATCAATTCTAAAAGTTTTTTATGTTATAGTTTTCAATTTTTTTTCCTTTATTATGTTTATTTGATTTCATTCCTCAAGGAATTTTAGTTTTTTAGGAAGAAGGGTTTTTTTATGTTATAAGTTTTAGTTATTTTCCTTCTCATGTTGACTTAATGTCATGTATATATTAAGTGTAAAAAGTAGGACTGTTAATGCGGTCGAACCAACTCAAATTGGATCCATTTGACCAGAGAAAAAATTCGATGAATCTAATCTTTTATTAAATTGGACTGAACTTGGGCCTAAATATTAGGCTAGAATTAAATGTAAGTCAAGTTTGGATCTTATTAGACTCAAAATCGATATAGGCCCACCCTTTTAACCTGCATATGTGTGTGTGTGTGTGTGTGTATATATATATATATAAACACACACACACACACACATATTTATATATATATATATATATCAAAATATGAATACACACACATATATATATAATTATATATCTAAATACATAATACTAATACTTCATACTTATGAGTTATGCATCAAAATATATTAATATATATAAGAAATATTAAATATACAAAATTATGTCCAAAGATTCAGAAGGACAAATCTTAGTACAAGCAAATTAAGAACCTTTGAAAATGTATTAACTGTTGATCGTGTTTTATTATATTTTCCATGTACTTTGAACTAATTGAATAATTATTGTTAAAAAATTTTCGGTTTATATACTTTTTAATGAACTGTTATTCATTTGTGTACAGTTTTAATGTTGCAATCCTATGGATGTTAAATCAACTTTAGAACTTAATGATATAGTAATTATATTAACGAAATTAAGGAGCAATAAGTGAGCTTGACCTAAGGCCAAATTAAGCTCACAACTCAAGTATTTTTTGAGTCAAGTATAAGCTTCACATCTATCAACTTGAAACTCATATTTCAAAACTCAAAAGATGGTACTAATTATATGAGCCTAGCATGAACTTGTTAAACTCCAACTCAGATGGCTTGACTGATAGGTGTAGTAAAAAGATTTGGAAAAAAAAAAAACTAAAGCGATGTTTCAATTTTATCTCTTAAATATATATATATGAGGTTATCATTTTAGAACTAATTTACTTCATTCCTAAAATGGGATGGACTAATTTGTTCTGTTATAAAAGTGAGGGGCTAAAAAAACTTTCACCAACAGTCATTTTCCCATATTTGGTTGTAAAAGAACTTTTTCGACTGATGGCTGCAAGCCTTGTTACTCTATTATCCCCCTGCCAAAAGCCAACTTACATTGGTATCTTTTTTTTTTTCCCGAATACGATAGATTCTATTCAACACTTAAGGAGAAAGAGAGATCCAAATGGGTTCAAAGGAGAATTCGAAAGAGACTGAACTACCACCAAACTAGACGAATACCTATGCACCGCGGATGAAATTTCGAGAAAAACCTGAATTTTTTAAAATGCAAATCAAAGGATTTGAACTTGGTATCTCGACGTCATAAAAGGAGAGTTTTGAATCAAGTTCTTATTATTATTTGATAGTTGCTAAATAGTTTGGTTTCCTTGAGTTTGAGTCATTGAATAGTCCAAGTCCGTTTTGGTTACTGATTTAGGGATGCATTCGATCCGAGCTAGTCAAACAATTTTCTCACAAATTCATAGTTTTATAATTCACAAAATACTATGCTAACGAGATCCAAAATGCATTGTATGGTAGACAACTTGTACAAGCAGATAAATTTCTGCTGAAATAATAGCTTCAGGTAGTTTGCCATTCCAAGAAGCGGAAGGATATTGTCCAAAGACAACATTATTCGGCAGCTTGGCCCTTGATTTTGAAATAGTCAAACGTGGCATCCATGTCAGAATTCTTGCTTATAAGAACCTCCATAAACTCTTCGAATAGGAACCCTCTGAATACTGGTGGATTGCTCGACTAACAACTGACTTTGCAGGTTCAATGATCCTATTGAAAGGAACATTAATAAAGCTGGCAAATGATGTCCTAGAACAATCTGAATTTGTAACAACTCGGTGCAGAGCACTTTTTAGCTTCCCGTTGCTGATTACCTGCAACAAAAAAAATGAACCAAAACAAAGTCCAAATTTTCATAGGTACTATTTGTTCCACTGTCAGATGAAAATTGTAACTTAAAGCATCCCACTTTCATGAAATTTCACAGAGGGGTTTCAAACAGGCATCTTGAATATATCTTTGTTCATTCAACCCTTTGGATTTGTCACATGCTAAGGTATTAGGAAAAATAATTTTCAAAGTAAATAATTAGTACTTGAGCTGGCATTTTCAGATGTTAAAGTCAAACTATGGAATAGTTCTAATAAAGGGCCACAATTAGTTATAGAAAAAGGCAAGAAAGCAATATATATATATATATATATATATATATATATATATATATATATATATATATATATATATTCTTTTGCAGTAACGACGGAGGCATTACCTCAAGGGCAAAAGATATGTTTATCACGAATGCATTGGGAAGAGGCTCAACCCCATGCCACTGGCCATCCTTAAATAGTTGTAGCCCATAAACATCTTGCTGAAGTAAAGTTATGATGTTTCCATCATAGTGTCCACCCGATCCCAAAGCAGAACCAGGATCAGGGCATGCTGGATAATTATGGATCATCAGGACCAAGTCATAACTATCGAAGTTTTTCTCAGTAAATCCTAATCCTTCATAGATCAGCTCCAAAACTCTCTTGCCTAGTTCTCTCACTTCAACCGTATATGGTCCTATAACCTCTCTGCAAAATAAAAAGTTACTTATAATTGAGCCCTGTTGGCTACGAGAAAATAACTCTAAAAATTAAAAATTCCAAATTTGATTTTGCAAAAACTCAAGAATCAGATGAACTACGGGAAGCCATGATGTTACATACATACCGGTATCTTGCTGGCTTATCGGGCCAAGATTTGACGCAACTCTCAAGAGGATGGCATGGATGCTGCAAAGTGTCTTTCCAGAACGCAAAATCTTGGGTGCTGTATTTTCCAGAACTGGTGTAAAGTTCCCATCCATGTTGTGTATCATCAGCAATCAACATCTCTTTACCCTCAGCAGCTATTGAAAAGAATTCTTGCCCCACACTCTTTGCATCAATCATCAACTTTTCTGGCACTCCATGGTTGATCACCTGTTCCAGTATATTCATCATAGGCAAACGCAATGAAGTCTGACTTTTGCGAACAACATTTTGCTAATACATAGATGTTTAAACTCAAATGTAATACCAGACCTGGAATAATCCAAATTCTTGACTAGCTTTTATGATTTTCTGAACCACAGCACCTCGATCTGCATCACCAAGATCAATCACTGGTATGTCCATGCTTATTGGAGCAAGCTTTCCTGGCCTTTGGTCCACAGGCACAACATAATTTGCTGGCAAAGTTTGCAGACTGGAAGACCAGCTTGAAACCAGGGATGCCATTTTTGTTGTCGCTCGCTTCTCTGCAACAACAATTATGGGAGGTATGTTTGTTGGTGCATGCCAAGGATGAAGACCTTCCTATATAGCCAGAGAAATTTGGCTTTTATCCACCTATGAGGCAGCCAACAATAAGATTCACATGAGATTCAATGGATTGAATTTCAACTATCATTCATGTCGTGTGAGACAGGTAACATCATAAAATATGTAGATTTCTTACATACTAAAAAGATACATTTGATTATTTGTTGCATAATTTTTAGAAATAGGACAGCGCATAAACTTCAGTGACAAATATATCTCTTCTCTATCTTTCCTTGCGAGTATTAACACTAGTTGTGATACTGTCATCTATAATTTCTTAGTCGGTCTCAGGAAAGTAATAATTCTTTTCACAGGGAAAAATATACAATTAAAGCAGCAAAAAGCTCTAATCATAATTTGGATTATACTCAATTTGTCCTTTGTTCTTATTATGAAGAAGATGTGTTCGATCATAACTTTAAATTTTTTTTTTCTTTTGGCAATTTCTTAATCATCTTGTTTTCTCCAAGTATACTACTCCCACACAATATATAGTTATGTCAGGAACATGCACGTATTAATTTAATCCAATCTCTATTAATTTAATTAGTACTATTATGTCATTGACATTTGAGTTTCAACTAAGCAATGACAACTGTATTCTCTTAATCCATAATTAATCCTATTTTTACTAATAAGAATGTTGTACAAACATTATTATTTTTTTGGCTTCATATGCCTTGTGAATAGATAGATATCCATCTCCCATCAGAGTTCGAGAATGTAAATCATTCCATATCTATCTCAACTTGAAAACTATAGGTTTCTTAAAGATTTTATCGGAAGAAACTTGTGTTACATCTTTATTACGGTGGAATTTTTTTTTTTTTTTTTGTGTGAAAGTTTAATTCGATGGAAAAACATAGATAAACCACTAATCCCTGTGTTGCACTTGAAACATGCAAAAATTTTCAACCCTATGAATCTTTTCCATCTGTTAATTAATCTCTTCTGTTTCTGTAAATAATTCATCTATTGCACCATAGGTTTCTTTTATAAAAATTCATATATTGCACAATAGTTTTGTTTATGTTTCACAGCTTCGTTGACTTCGAACATGGCTCCAGGTAGATGATTAGCTATAAATAAGGCAAAACAAATGGGATAGATGGTTTACCATAGTCTTGATAAAATTGTTTAATCCGAGTTGTTAGGCTGTCTTTTTCTAAAATATATGGATGGATGATGCAATGTATAATCCATTTATTTTCTAATTTATACGTTTGTCTATGTCTATCTTCCTTTAATACGTTGGAAATGGTAGATCAAAGATTGAATTATGTGTTTTTGTTAATCCCATGACATCAAAGCTGCAAAAGGTCAAAGTTACAAAATAAAACTTTCTTTTATGCCTATGGCAATTTGTTTATTAGACCTTCAATTATTATTTATATTAGATTGTCTCATGTTTATCCTACATGCCAAGTAAGACCAACAGCTACTAGATAACAACTAATTAACGACTAAAATAAACGCTTGTGGAAGAAAATGCAAAATCCGAAGAAAGGGGTTAAAAATAAAAAAGAAATCTGATGCTTGAAAAGTAACCTATTTTTTGGAATCCCAATCAAACTTCCATTGTGAATTGTAACACTCACATGATATGCGGAAAATAACAACATGACGGCCCGTAATTTGATGCTAAGTTACGGACAAATGCTGACCGACCGTTCACTAGGCCTGTCAATCAGGCCTTAATAAAATTCAAATTCGGCTCATATTTAATTCAAATTTAATTTTTAGGCTCGGACTCAGCTCATTTCACTGACAATTAAGGTGGCGTTTGGTTCGCATATCAAAATTGGAATCGGATTCGAAATTGGATATCTTGGGTTTGGAATGAGGTCATTCATTCCAATATATTTATTTGATTCAAGTACCTGGAATGTGTATCATTACTATAGTTGATGTTTGGTTCGTCGACTCTTTCGAAATGAAATATAATAAATATATTATAAACCACATCGTAAATGATACTTATTTGCTCTTTGTAAATGAGATATAAGAAATTTTCACTAATTAAATAAATTAGTATAAATGTATTGGTAAATTTAGTCTAACTAATTAATAATTTCTATTAGTAAACATGTATAATTATTAGTATAATTGATCATATTAATTATATTACATAAATTAATATACATTATATAATACATATAACTAATAATATTATTATTATAAGTTTGTAACTAATTAAATTAAATATTATATATATAATTAAATATAAATATACAAATTTTATAATATAAATATAATTATATAATATATACAAATGTTAATTATACTAATATTTTATATAAATATAATATATATATTTAAATATAGTTATTATTATATATTATTATATTTAAAATAATAATAATTATTATAATTATATAACATATTAATATTTCATACATGTATATATTATAATTATATGCACATATAATATACATTTATAAATATACATATATATTATATATAATATTATATAATATTAATAAACTTATAATATATATTATATAAGTATAATTATATTTAACTAAATAATTATAATATATAATTATATATAATAATATCATTATTATTAGTTTGTAACTAATTAAATTAAATATTATATATATAATTAATTATAATTATACAAATGTTATAATATAAATATATAATTATAAATATATAATATATAAATATTAATTGTACTAATATTTTATATAAATATAATGCATATTAATATTAGATATAGTAATTATTATATATAATTATATTTAAAATAATAAATATAAATATAATTATCATTATATAATTTATTAATATTATATACATGTTTATATTATAATTATATGCACATATAATATGCATTTATAAATATACATATATTATAGATATATTATTATATAATATCAATAAATTTATAATATATATTATATAAATATAATTATATTTAACTAAATAATTATAATATATATTTATATAATATACTAATATTATAATTATGTATATATTATAATATATCTAATTTATATAATATATATAAATATTAATTATACTAAATATTATGTAATCGGTAAAGATTTTAGAATCACACTTAGGTTTTGGACAAACCCACCCTTTTACTAAGGAATGGAGGGATGCTAAATTTTTAGAAATCATTCCAAGATTTCAATTCCCATTCCAGTGAACCAAACATCAATTATGAAATTTATTCCATTTCTTCGTTTCGATACCCTTTTACCAAACGCCCCCTAAGAGTCGTCAGATCCAATGGATCGAATTCGAACTGACTGACACGATCCTATTGACAATCCTACCATTCATTCCTGTTGAAGGGAAATAGGCTACCGGTCAAACCAGTCGAATTACACTTATCCCAATCTTGTTCGCTCTCCCTGCAAAGCCCATCACATCATCATCCTCATTCTTCAGCCACTGGTGGACTCCTTCTCTGCCACCCACCATGTAAGTACCAACCATCCCAACTCCAAAATTTTCCTAATAATTCAGCCCATCTATAAGCGGCCTCCAACAAACTGAATGATATTTTATTTGAAACACCCAGTTTTTATTTGCATCTTTTGCTATAAAAGAGGATGCAATGGTTAGGAGAAATGGAGTAAAGGCTACTTGGAGCAATTGCCGCCGGTATAGGAGAGAGATGTCGTAGGAAAGACTGGTTCCATATTAAAAAAAAAATGGTGGCTGAAATACCCAATGTGCCTTTTTCTCTTACCTGCAAATGCTTTGGTGTTTTGTTTATAAAGCAAAATTTACATCTTCAGTTTTGCCATAGTTGTTGTTGCTGCAGGTGGTGGACTTGAACTGCCATCGCTGGACCCCTAAATTTTTTAGATGATGGAACCAATTAGTATATTAGTATCTCCCGGAATTTGGCATGAATACATGATAGGTTTCTGAGTTCTAATCGAGGAGGTCATTGGTCAACGATGATCTATGGTCCACTTCAGTATTGTAACCGGGTAGCATTCTTTTATTTTTTTTTTTTTTTGAGCAACCGGGTAGCACTCTTAGTACCGAGGCTTTAAGAGAGAGAGAGGGAGAAGAGTTGATTTTTTTTTTCGACACTGTGGGTATCCGGGACTACCCGACTAATTTCACAATGCCCAGTTAGAGCCTGTGTTTTCAAACTCGGACCGGACCGGCCGGTCCGACCGGTTGAATCGAAAACCAGTGGTGTGTCCGGTCCGAGTTGATCATCAAAACCGAGAAATTCAAAATCCGGTCAATTCCGGTCAAAACTCGGGTTTGACCGGGTTTGACCGGTACAGAACCGGAAAAACCGGTCCAACAGGAACTTTTGCAAAAAAAGTTCAAACTTTTTTAATATTATATTTTGGCCCCTAAATTGTGAAACTTATTAATATACCTCAAATATTTCATACTTTATAAATATTGTCCTAAAATTTGATGTTATTTTTCAATTAAATCCATAATTTTAATTCTAATCTTGTTAATGTTTATTAAATAATATAAATTGTTACTTGATTGTTCTAATTTCTGTATTTTCTTGTTAAATATATTTGAAACATCAAATATATATGAATATACCTTTATTAATATCAATATGTTATTGGATATTTTATATACAATAATTTAATTTTTAAATAATTTTTATTTATGACGTCATCCGGTTCGACCCCTATCGACCCCCGGTCGAACCCATTGACCCCTGACCCCTGACCTCGGCCGAGTCGAGTCGATATCCGGTCCGGTTCTGAAAACATAGGTTAGAGCGGGCCTGACGGATACCTACGACGTAAACAATTGGGTTGCGGACTGGAATCGAATCCAAGTGGACTTGGAGTAAAGACCCCGCCTCCACCATCCGAACAATCGAGCACGGGCGAGAAGAGTCGGTTGGGGTTGGGGTTGGGGAGAAAGGCACAAAGGAGAAGAGGAGATGTTGGGTAGCCAACAACTGTGGAGTAGAGTAGAGTAGTTCGCTGCCAAGAGGGTTTTAAAACTGAATTCCTTGACCTGCATTTTTATCCAGAATTTTTTGAAAATTTCACTAACGGATGCAAAGG